AAGCGAATGGAATTTTATTTTTAATTTTATTTGGACAATTTGCCAGTTGTTTGGATAGAAAGTTAAAGATGACAATTAGCTGCCTGCCTCTCTAGCACTGACTTTTCTTTCCTTGTTTTTTTTAATTTTTTTAATTTTTTATCATGACATTTCTTTCCCCTTGACAACTATTGTATTCAATTGTTTTTCATCCCTTAAAAGCACGAGCTGGAACTTTTATAATATATATATATATATATATATATATATATATATATAAACTCAGAAATTATTATAGACTTATAACACTAGGTCCTACAAAGTTAATAAAAAGAGGAGAAAAATAAGATTAAAGCAAGAATGAAATTGAGGAAAAAAATCGAATACCACACAATTAAGTCTTTTTTAGTGGATTATCATCTTTTGGGGCTTACACTGTCCTGCAATATTACAATCAAATGGCCGTATCTGTAGATACATATATATTTTTTCACAACGAATTACGAAATTTGCCAATTGATTAGATAGAAAGTTGGAGCAGATAAGTTGTTATGAGCTTGAAGTTACAAAATATGTAGCTTAATTAACATTGCTCAGGTAAATTAGTGTTTTGAATTGTTTTGGAAATTGTTTTAGACTCGACAAATATCATCAACTTGTAGTCTTGTGCCAGTGAAAATAGATGGTTTGGGACCAACTTGTGTTAGTGGAAATAAATGGATTGGGGCCAACTTGTGTTTGGAATACTTGTGAGAGCAAATTAATCCATGTTGACGCAGCAATCACAAACTATATAGGACAACTATTCAATGGAATTGTTTTTCATCCAAACTGCACAAGATGTACTAACAAAATAAATTTGTTTCGTTCCCATTTTCAAAACCTATTTTTCTCAAAACTGGATTAATAAAGACATGATATCAAATAATTGTCTTCTATAATTATTGTATAATAGTTTTTTATTTTTTGAATTTTTGGAAACAATTTTTTAGAAACTCAACCAAGACTATGTAGTTAAATAAACATGATTAAGCATTAGATTTGTCTACATGGGTAGTTGTGGAAAAATACTACGATATTGACTTTCATAAATTATATTGATGTTTGAAATTTATCAGATAAATTATATTGATATTTGTAGTTCGTGAGAACTTCACATAAACCTGGCATATATGTAAATGATTGATAAAAAATAAAATTGAGGTGAAAAATAAAATACCACACAATTAAGTCTAGTCCTTTAAGTGCATTATCATCTTTTGCCAGTGAAAATGTAGTTTGGACAATTGCTTTAGACTGGACTAATATCATCAACTTGTGCCAGTGAAAATAGATGGACTGGGACCAATTTGTGTCAGTGGAAATAGAAGGGTTTGAAATTCTAACAGCACACCCACGTTGACCCAGCAACCCTCTTCACACTACTATCTTTCATCTCAAGTTACAATAACGCCCTTTGACAATTCCAAATTATCAATCCACATGCACATGATGAAGGATGTATGTGATGCTTCCTATGTGTGGAGCAATTACACGTTTGGGTGATTACGGCTTATCCTAGTAATTTCAATTTAACCCTATTCTTACAATTTAATAATTATTTTTTTCAGTTATAATAAGATCTTTTTATCATCCCACCAAAGAAATAATAAAATTGAACCAAATAACTAATCTTTTTAGTATGAAAAACATTGAATAATAATTAAAACTTATAGAACCTTTAAATTCCTTTGATACTAATGGTAATGTGAATAGTAATTTGTTGCTTTTATTTTTCTTTTTTGTTTTACGCTTTGTGTCACGCCCCAAAAACTGAAATACAAGAACTCTTGTCTCGTATTAAAATCTGGCATGACTTTCTTTACACAACCACAATTTTACAAAAAAGATAATTAAATAAAGAAGTAGATGTAAATCACCCTCTAATTTATTAAATCGATACAACCATAATAACAATCAACCTTGTCAAAATAATCCATGATAACTGGACAAAATGAACTAAATCTCAAAAATATATCGTCATTTTTATTACAATGGGAAATTGAACTAAACCAATAAGTTGTATAGTCATATTCATTAGTCATGGTCAGTATACACTTACATCAAGTCTTTTAATTATTGCAATTTATCATTGCAAAACTAGGTTTCATAAGACACATTTATAATATCGTCGTAAGAAATTAAGAACAGAAAGTCATAACAAGCAAGCTAACTCCAAGGATTTATGCAATTCACGTATACATATCTTCATTATTCAGTCATCATTAAATTAATTTACTGCAATAGATAAAAACATGCTACAATAATTTTCTCAATCCAAATAGGCGAAGTTACGTGTATATATAAGTATACAAAGCAAGATTAACTTGCCTGGGGTAAAATTAATTCTTCCTTCCTACGCGAATTCTAGATTATCGTTCCTTCCCTCGGTTACTGCAGAAAGACACGACGTCAGATCACTCTCTCTGGATCTCCATCCTATCACGCTATATCGTGCTAATATTATATATATATATATATATATATATATTTTTAAAAATAATATCCTCGTAGAACTGATATGACGTGAAATATAAAGATAACTATAACTGTATTTGAGATAGTTTAGATTCCTATTTAAATTTTAAATTTAAAAACTCTAATATCTCTACTATATTTTTAAATTCAAACATAGATAACCATTAAATTAAATTAAATAAATAAATATATGTATATGTATATATATATATATATATATATATATATATTTTACACGGGTCTTACATTCTACCCTCATAGAAAGAAATTTCGCCCTCGAAATTTGCGTACCTTAATCGAATAGATGTGAGTACTTTTCTTTCATTTCTGACTCTAGCTCCCAAGTAGCCTTTCTCTCGTCCTGATGATTCCATTGCACCTTCACCAGAGGTATCTCTGCCCGCCTCAACTGTTTCACCATATTGTCAACAATGCGGACAGGCGTCTCAACATAGGTTGCATTAGGACGAATTTGGACCTCTGTGTAGTCAATGACCTGAGTCTCATCCTCAAGCACCTCCTCAACATAGAGACATGGAAAACACCGTGAACAACTGATAGTCTAGGTGGTAGAGCCAATCTATACGCCACCTCCCCAATCCTCTCTGTAATCTCAAAAGGTCCAATGAATCGAGGAGCTAACTTCCCTTTCTTTCTACCAAATCTCTTAACCCCTTTCATTGGTGATACTTTCAAGAACACCAAGTCACCGATACTAAACTCCAAAGCGACGACGGCGTCGATCTGCATAACTCTTCTATCGACTTTAAGCTGTGCAAAGTCGATCTCGAATGATGATAACCTTCTCCGTAGTCTCTTGCACCAACTCTAGCCCCAAAAAACTACCATCACCAACCTCAGCCCTAACATATAGGTGAACGACAAGGTCTACCATAAAGTGCCTCATAAGGTGCCATGCTGATACTAGCCTAATAGCTATTATTATAAGCGAATTCAACCAGTGGAATGTGATCCTCCCAACTGCCCCGAAAATCTAGCCCACAAGCACGAAGCATATCCTCCAATACCTGAATGACCCTCTCGGACTGGCCATCGATCTGAGGATGAAAAGCAGTACTCAAACTCAAAGGAGTACCAAAAGCTGCATGAAAACCACTCCAAAATAGAGATGAAAATCGAGGATCACGATCTGAAACAATAGACACCGGCACTCCATGGAGCTTAACTATGTCTCTGATGTAGATCTTATATAATTCCTTTACAGTATCAGTAGCTCGAATGGGTAGAAAATGAGCTGATTTAATCAATCGGTCCACTATCACCCACATTGTATCATGGTTATGTATCGATCTCGGTAACCCCACAACAAAATCCATCATCACATGCTCCCATTTCCACTCAGGCACAGGCAAAGGCTGTAATAGTCCTGCTGGTCTCTGATGCTCAGCCTTCACTCGCTAACAAGTGAGACATCTAGATACAAACTCTGCCACATCACTTTTCATGCCTTCCCACCAAAACTGCCTCTTAAGATCATGATACATCTTAGTGCCACCTGGGTGCACTGTGTACCTAGAGTGGTGTGACTCCTCTAAAATCTCTCTCTTGAGATCTGCTAAGTCTGGAACACATAACCTACCTCAAAATCTCATACCACCATCAGCTCCATACGTCCAGTCGACATTACATTCATCATTAACAGCCTCAACTGCTTTGGTCTGTAATTTGTCATCCTAAGTTTGAGCATAAATGATCCGGCTGATCAAAGTAGGTTGTATAGTCAATCTACAAAGAAGAGCCCCTGTACTCTGAGAACTCGGCATGATAGAAAACTCTGTCAATGCCTCTAACATCATCCACTCCTGAATCATCATAAAGGCAACTAATCCTCTCGGTTTTTGACTCAAAGCATCTGCTACCACATTCGCCTTTCCAGGATGATACTGAAGGGTCATATTAAAATCCTTCATCTTCTCCATCCACCTCTGTTGCCTCATATTTAACTCCTTCTAAGTGTAGAAGTACTTGAGGCTCTTGTGATCAGAGAATAACTCAAATTCCTCGCCATACAAGTAATGCCTCCACACATTCAATGCAAGAACCACTGCTGCCAATTCCAGGTCATGTGTAGGGTAATTTTGCTCATGTTTTTTAAGCTGCCTAGAGGCATACGCTACCACCTTATCATCTTGCATCAAAATATAGCTAAGACCCTGATGTGATGCATCTGTGTAGATCACAAATCTCTCACCACTAGCAGGAATGGTAAGAACTAGTGCTGATGTCAATCTCGTCTTCAGCTCCTCAAATGCTTGCTCACAGCGGTGGTCCCAAACAAATTTCACATCCTTCCGAGTCAAACGGGTCAAAGGTGCAGCAATCTTGGAGAAACCCTCAATGAAGCGCCTGTAGTATCCTGCCAATCCCAAGAAGCTACGAATCTCAGTGACTATAGTAGGCCATTTCCAACTCATCACAGCCTCCACCTTGGAAGAATCTACTGAAACTCCATCCTTAGAGATCACATGCCCCAAAAACTGAATCTACTCCTGCCAAAAGTCACACTTCTCAAACTTAGCATAGAACTGATGCTTATGCAAATTCTGAAGTGTAATGCTCAAATGTCTCTCATGTTCCTCCTTAGTCTTGGAACATATCAGGATGTCATCAACAAATACCACAACAAACTGATCCAAGTAAGGTCGAAACACTCTGTTCATCAAATCTATAAAAGCTGCCGGAGCGTTAGTCAACCCAAAAGGCATGACTAAGAACTCATAGAGGCCATAACGAGTCCTGAAGGCAGTCTTAGGAATATCCTCATCCCTAATCCTCAGCTGATGGTACCTAGTCCTCAAGTCAATCTTAGAGAACAACTGCGCCCCTTTGAGTTGATCAAACAAATCATTAATGCGTGGCAATGGGTACTTATTCTTAATAGTGACCTTATTCAGCGCACGGTAGTCAACTTATAAGCGGAGTGACCCATCCTTCTTCTTGACAAATAAAACAGGTGCTCCCCAAGGTGATGTGCTAGGTCAAATAAACCCCCAATCTTGCAACTCTTGAGTCTGCTTCTTCAACTCACTCAATTCAACTGGCGCCATTCTGTAGGGTACCCTAGAGATAGGTGAAATACTAGGAGTGAGGTCGATGCACAAATCCACTGCCCTCCTAGGAGGCAAACCCAGAGTATCCCGAAACACATCTGCATACTCTGACACTGTTGGTAACTGCTCTATAGTCACGCATTGCTCAACCACCTTGATGTGGGCCAGAAATCCCATAGTTATGGTGCCCTCGAACTCCCCACACTTATATCGAGAAGGTAACTGTCCCGGAATTGAGAATATAATAATCCTCTCATGGCAGTCCAACTAAGCATGATATCTAGCCAACTAATCCATACCCAGTATAGCATCAAAGTCTCTCATACGTAATACTATCAAATCAATAGGATACTCCAACTCCCCAATTGTAATAGGGCAAACACGACATATTCTATCAAATGTCGTTACGCTCCCGAGTGGAGTTGTAATAGATAAGACATTATTCATATGTTCAGATTCTAATCCCAGTGTGTCCACAAATGATAGTGCAATAAAAGAATATGAAGAACCTGAATCAAATAGTACTCTAGCTATACTGCCATAAATAGTAAGTGTACCTTCCACTGCTGGTGGTGCACGGTTCTGTCTCCCATCTGGAACAACTGCATAAACCCTTACACCTCCTTGCTACTGTGGTGCCTGACCTTTCTACTGGTTATTCTTGTGAGATTTGGGACAATTACGAGCCAAATGTCCTTACTCACGACAATTGTAGCAATGCCCGCTGAACTGATATGGCTGTGCATCATAAGGTGTGGGTGGTACTAAAGTTGTGGATTGCTCACCTTCACCAGCTCTCTGTCGTTTCCCTGCTCGCCAATCTTGTCTACCTTTCTGCCAAGACTGACCCTGCCAGTTTCTCTGAGTCTGTTGTTGCTGACCCCTCTGATTCTGTTGAGAGCTGCTAGCCGCTTTACTTTTCTGTTCTGCCTTACGCTCTTTCTGTTTCTGGAAGGCAATGTTATTATTCTCCTCTATTGCCATGGAACATTCCACCACTTTAGCATAAGTGTCAAAATGATGACCCACCATAAACTTCTTCACACAAGAGACCAATCCTCGCTCAAACTTTCTACCCTTGTGTAACTCATTCGCAACAATGTAAGGAGCGAATCGGGATAGCTCTGTAAACTTCCTCTCATACTCATTGACTGACGTATCATTATTCTGTTCCAGCTACATGACCTCTGCTGCCTTATTCTCTTTTACTGATTATGGAAAGTCTTTGTCATTGAACCGAGTTTTAAAATCATCCCAGGTCATAGTTGTAATGTCCACAACCATCCTGGTCTCTGACTGCCACTACTGGCACGCCTCACCAGATAAAAAAAATGCACCAATCTTCCTTTTCTGCACCTCAGTGCAGTCCATCATCTCAAAATATCTTTCCAAATCTTCAATCCACTTCTCAGCATCAAGTGGATCGGTAGATCTGACGAAATCAATAGCCCCCAATTTGCATATATCTCTGATAAATCCAATCATAGGATTCGGCACATGTGGTGCATTGTCATGGTCAACACCACCACGACCGGCACCTCCCTGACCTCTACTCTAGTAGGTCGTCCTTTGCCTCTTCCAGCTCCTGACATCCTATTTTCAGTAAAGAATGTCAATGATAAGTCTCACAAGAAATTTATACTTTAAACTGGAGCATGGTAAAAGAGCAATAATTCGTATAAGTATATGCTCCTATTCTTACTATCACTTTTCTTAGCCAGGTAATTCTTAACCTAGGCTCTGATACCAAACTGTCACGCCCCAAAAACTGAAATACAAGAACTCTTGTCTCGTATTAAAATCTGGCAAGACTTTCTTTACACAACCACAACTTTACAAAAAAGATAATTAAATAAAGAAGTAGATGTAAATCACCCTCTAATTTATTAAATCAATACAACCATAATAACAATCAACCTTGTCAAAATAATCCATGATAACTGGACAAAATGAACTAAATCTCAAAAATATATCGTCATTCTTATTACAATGGGAAATTGAACTAAACCAATAAGTTTTATAGTCATATTCATTAGTCATGGTCAATATACACTTAAATCAAGTCTTTTAATTATTGCAATTTATCATTGCAAAACTAGGTTTCGTAAGAAACATTTATAATATCGTCATAAGAAATTAAGAACAGAAAGTCATAACAAGCAAGCTAATTCCAAGGATTTATGCAATTCACATATACATATCTTCATTATTCAGTCATCATTAAATTAATTTATTGCAATAGATAAAAACATGCTACAATAATTTTCAATCAATCTAAATAGGCAAAGTTAGGTGTATATATAAGTATACAAAGCAAGATTATATTGCCTAGAGTAAAATTAATTCTTCCTTCCTATGCGAATTCTAGATTATCGTTCATTCCCTTGGCTACTGCAGAAAGACACTATTGGAACCAATATATTAAAACGGGGAATATCGAGGCTTAGAGGCGCGTAATCGCTTCTTGAAGATAGTTGAAGCCTCTCCCACGTGCAACGGAAGACAAGTGGCAGCACTATCTCTAGGATTCAACTAAGCCCAGATATCAAAACTGTATGTTCATGAAGGTTGCACTTTTTCTTTATGAACCTGTATATTTATCTCCATCCGATCAACAAAATATATGAAACTCACACACTCAAACTCAATAATTTGAAAAAACACTTTTCAAATATCTTTTAATTAACTCTAACTAGTTTAGAGAGAGTGTATCTTGTTGGATTCGTAAACCTACTATTTATATTAGTAGTAATGGGGATGTAATTAACTTAATATTAATGAAGGTATTTAATTTCCATAAATAACATATAAGTTAAAGTAAGTTAATACATTAAATGAAGAAAACTTTATTTATAGTTTATTAAAACTTCATTAAGACATCTGTTGGAATTTTAAGAAATTAATAAGTAATTAATTTGAAACACATAACTCCAACAATCCCCCACTTGTTTCAAATTCATTTTGTTGATCGGTACAGTTACGTGCATCAATAATGGTGTCTTTTGGACTTGAACCATTACCTAGTATAAGTATCCTTGATTTCATCTAGGAACTTGGTGAACGATGTCTTGAACCAAGAACCACATTGATGAAAAAGAAATACTACACACACTTTTGTTCGGAGATAAAGTACTAAAGCTTGGCACGTTTCGGCCATGTGTCCGGAATCCGTACTTCTGAGTGTCGTTAAGGATCAAGCCTGTTTATATCCTATAGAAGCGACCCTACTTCCACACTCAGATCGGTGTGTCCATCAAGAGTGACCTTGCACATTCCAACCGAATACCGATTATGGACTCATTAAGAGAATTTAATTTCACCCTCTTCATTGCAAGATAAATCGGTGAATCTATCAAGAGTGATTGTGTACACCCCAATCGGAAATCCGATCTATAGAATTCATTAAGAGACTCATGTCTCAGCCTCCTCATTGATTATACGGTGAATCTATCAAGAGTGATCCTGTACACTCCAATCGAAAATTGATCTATAGATTCATTAAGAGATCTAAATCTCAACCTCCTCGGTTACAGGATTGAGCACCACATCACATAATAGGGAAAGGAACATTGATGTGCTCACACAAGTTGTTATGTTACTTGTTTTTCCCATTGAACCCAGGAGAAATATCACTGGGTTGGGTTCCCATAACAGTATAACTTATTCAATTACAGGCTTTAATCCCATCCCTTTCGATGTCTCGAACACTTGGTCCTTACCCAAGCTCTTTGACAATGGATTTGCCAAATTTGATTTGGACTTCACATACTAAGTAGAAATAATTCCATCAGCTAGGATCCTTCTCACATGATTGTGCTTTAATCGCACCTGTCTAGATTTTTCATTGTAACACTCGCTGTTAGCTCGAAGTATTGCAGCCATATTGTCACAATATATTGTCAAGGGTGGTATTGGCTTGTTCCATATCGGGATATCTTCCAATATGCTTTTCAACCATTCAGCTTCTTGTCCGGCAGAGGAAAGTGCTATAAACTCCGATTCCATAGAGGAATGAGTTATACATGTTTGCCTCTTTGATTTCTATGAAATCGCTGCTCCACCCAATGTGAAGATCCAGGCAGTCACAGATAATGAGTCTTCTCTGTCAGAGTTCCATGTAGCATCGCTATACCCTTCGATTACAGCTGGAAATTTGCCATAGTGCAATCCATAATCCATAGTACCTTTCAAGTACTTTAGGATTCTCAGCAAAGCATTCCAATACTCCTTTCCTGGATTGCTTGTGAACTTACTCAAAGTACCCACTGCAAAGGCTATATCTGGCCTTGTGCAGTATATTGCATACATAAGACTGCCGATAATCCGAGAATATTCGAGTTGATCCATCGTTTTACCTTGATTACGTACCAACTTCACACTAGGATCAATTGGAGTATAGACTGCAGAATCTGGAAAGTGATTAACCTTTTTCAGAATCATCTCGATATAGCTGGACTGCGTAAGTGCTAGACCATTTTGGAACCTCACGATTTTGATTCCTAGAATCACATCAGCCTCGCCAAGATCTTTCGTGTCAAAACTAGAAGTTAAATACTTCTTAGTTTCTATGACACTTTCCATGTCTGTCCCAAAAATGAGCATATCATCAACATAGAGGCAGATTATGACACCAGAGTTTCCTTGAAATCTACTGAAGATGCATATATCTCCTCCATTAATCTTAAATCCAACAGATATCATTACTTTCTTAAATTTCTCGTGCCACTGCTTAGGAGCTTGTTTCAAGCCGTATAATGACTTGATTAATTTGCACACCTTCTTTTCTTGTCCAGGTAATACAAACCCCTCAGGTTGCTCCATATAGATTTCCTCTGCTAGATCGCCATTGAGGAAAGCAGTCTTTACATCCATCTGATGAATTATCAAATTATTGATAGCAGCTAAGGCAATCAAAAGCTTGATAGAATAAATTCTTGCAACAGGAGCAAAAGTGTCAAAATAGTCAATCTCCTTCTTCTGCTTGAAACCTTTTGCTACCAATCTAGCCTTGTACTTATCCAGCGTTCCGTCTGACTTTAATTTCTTCCTGAAGATCCACTTGCAACCAATTGGCTTGCAACCAGGAGGAAGATCCACCAACATCCAAGTTTTGTTGGACATAATTGAATGTATTTCATCATCGATTGCTTCTCGCCAGAATAGAGCATCATGTGAGGACATCGCCTCGAATAAGTTACAGGCTCATTCTCGATTATAAGAGTATAGAAGTCTGGTCCAAAGGACTTTGGCTTAGCAATTCTGGAGCTCTTCCTTGGTTCAATTTCTTCTGAAGGATCAGAGGATTTTCTCTTCCTTGTATTAGAATCTGAAGGAATATCATGTTCATTTTTACCTTCTCTCTTCGAAAAAATATTCTCGAAGAAATTCGCATGAACTGACTCGATGATTGTATAAGGCGAAGGAGACTCCAAATTCAAGAATCTGTAGGCTTTACTGGTTGTTGAATAACCAATAAATACACAATCAATGCCTTTATGACCAATCTTCGACGTCTGCTGATATGGTAGTCTAACATGAGTTAAGCAACCCCAGACTCTGAAATAATTAACATTCGGCTTTCTTCCTCTCCACATTTCATATGGAGTCATATTGACTTTCTTATGTGGGACTCTGTTGAGAATGTGGCAAGCAGATAACAAAGCTTCTACCCACATATTTTTAGGTAAGCCCGAACTGGTAAGCACTGAGTTCACCATTTCTGTTAAAGTTCTGTTCTTTCTTTCAGCTACTCCATTTTGTTGAGGAGTATAAGAGGCTGTCAGTTGTTTTTCAATTCCTTCATCTTCACATAGATGTTGAAACTCAGACTTGATGTATTCTCCTCCTCTATCTGATCGAATAACTTTGATGCTTGAATTCAGTTACTTTTCAACTTCTGCTTTATATGCCTTGAACTTGTCTAAAGCTTCATCTTTAGATCGTAAAGTATAGACATAGGTATATCTAGAATTATCATCAATAAATGTGATAAAGTAATGATGCCCTCCACGTGATAAAAAGTCCATTTCACATACATCAGTATGGATCAATTCCAATAGAGTGGATTTCCTCTCTATCGAATAGAAGGTTTTCTTAGTAATTTTTCATTTACTACAAGTCACACATTGATCCATATGTGTTTTATCACAAACTGTGATTAACCCCTCATTAACCATTTGATTAATGGACTTAAAATTCACGTGGCCTAATCTACCATGCCATAAATCAATTGACTCAGCAATATAAGCATAAATTACTTCATTTTCAACATTAAGTTTGAACATACCATTTGCAGCATAGCCTTTCCCGACAAACACACCATTCTTAGACAGAATGAAATTATCAGATTCAAAAACCATCTTGAATCCATGCTTGGAGAGGAGGGCACCAGGCACCAAATTCTTGCGAATATCTGGAACATGTAGCACATCTTTCAGAGTAATCACTTTTCCGGAAATAAACTTTAAGTCCACGCTTCCTTTACC